TTGGCCTTCCTTCGTCAAATGTGTCCGGCTGTTTGTCTACACAGACGCTTGCTCTGCATACACCTATGCCATGCACGTGCCGAACTCCATTTTCTCCTTGTATTTTTCATCCCTCATCACATATTACGCTCGATGTAGCAGATCAAGAATGATTTTAGTTAGTCTCTCCGGCTGAGGTGTAGCCACAAGGGGGGGGGGGGGGGTGTACACACAACAACCTTTTCACAACCTATCATCGTACGCTGTGCATGTTGCTTCATATGAAGTTAAGCAGTCTTTCACTGTCATAGCGGCGTTTAGTCGTGTGACATCTGATAATAATTATAATATAATGCACACTTTCTTTGCACTCTACGAGTGCAAATAAACTATGTATGAGGGAGTGGAGTATGTATGAGGGAGCGGAGATAGCGAAAAAGGCGTTTTCGCCACAAAGGCGAAGAAGCGATACGACATCAACAAATTGGACTTTTATACGAATTAAGGCTACCAGCTAGCTGCCTTAGCAACCGATCTGGTGCGAGTATGCAAAATGCTGAAATAAGGGATGTAATAGGGACGCAACTCCGGCCGCTGCATCGGTTGAAGAGACTTTTGTGCTTTCTATCGTGTCAACGTGAACTAAGCGGTGAGTGCACAGCACGCACGAAAGCGTAAGCCGTCTGCTTGTCCCTTTAAAGATACAGTGCGTGCGATCACGCCCGCCCGATCAAAGTTTACAGTTCCTGCTATGGTAACGCACCCCCCCCCCCCCCCCCCCCCCGGCACACTTCCCCTGCCATAGTCATGGGCTTTTCGGGGTACGAAAGTTGGCTGGTGCGTTTCCTCTCTCCAGGAGCCGCCATCGTCTGCTACCCTCGCGTCATATCCTCTCACGTCATATCCTCTCATATCCACCCCTCACGTCATATCTTCGTGGAGAAGATATGACGTGAGGGGTGGTGCTATCGGCCTCACGGCGGCGACCTAAATGCGCCTCGAATGTCCATGTAAATGGTATCACAGCAAAACGTGAAAGGACGTAAGCGGTATTGCGCCCTGGATTCACGGCTGATGGACATTATCCTGATGCATGCCAAGAGTTGATCTTTAAATTTGATTTACGGTGCCTTACCCCCGTATTCTAGAACCTCCCTTCACTCAATTCTTCGCCTTCACTTGAGAAAGCCGATGGGAGCGCCATCTCTAGGCCCGGCAAGTCACTGCATATCAGCGTTTGTCAGCGGCGATTCTCCAGTAGCGCAGTGTCAATTTCAGCCGAGTGGCTGCGCAGTGCTCAACTCTGTCAAGTGAAGGGTGAAAGTCGAGTCGAGGAACGTTTGTGAATACGGGGGTTAACGTCTCAAAGCAACGCACAAACCATTCTAGACATCTGGGGTTGGAGGAGGGGGGCTGTATTTTACTAAAACTGTCTAACAAGTGCGTGAAACGTAATCTGATGAAGATTAAACAGCGCTCGACAAGAGATTTTTCGATGATATGTTTTAACCTTTCGCGTCGTTTGATTATGGTAATCAATTTATCGTCACCATCACTTGAGAATGCGTTAAATATCGCTGGGCGACTATTAGAACGAGAGATGTTCGATGTTACACTAAGGCTTAGAAAGAAAGCCGTGTGAATTCGAGAGCCAATGCAGGCAGCTGACACTTTCGTTGATTTTGATAGGACCTTCATGTGGTTCCGACTTCTTCCTTATTTTTTTGCTATCCGTCTCTCTTTCAGCCGGTAGCGGTGGCTTCAAGTACGTAAGGTCATTTCGGAAGAACTGCCCTGCAAAAAATGTGTAATTTATCATAAGGTTCTAATGTGACTGACAACTGGCGAGAAAGTGTCGCAAGACTAGTGGAATTAGAATCGAGCAATCTTAGTTGCGGTTTAACGTCCCAAAACCACGATATGAACACCGTATATGAGGGCTCCGGAAATATCGAGCACCTGGGTTCTTCAACATGCGCCTAAATGACCTTCAATGTTCACCTTAATTGGGTGATCTTCGAGTCAGCAGTCGAGAACCATGACCACTTGACCAGCGTGACGGGCATTGATCAATCTTTTCACTATTTGAATAGGATTTGTATTTTTAAACTGCGTGTAGACGTCGTACATTCCGGCATGTCGCAATGAGTTGTTCCGATTACAGCACGCAGTGTATAGTGTTGCAGAATGGGCGCCTACATTCCATTCCATTCCGGGGAATCAGAACTTGCCGCAAGTCCATTCTTTTAGAATTCCTCGGAATGAAAAGACAAGTTATCCCAATCCCACTCCCAGAACGGCCGGGCAGTTTAATTCCATCCATGTAATTCCTCAACGTAGGAAATGCATATTTAGAGTTTTATAGCGTCTAGACTGAACGCCTCATAAAGCTGATTCCATCAGATGCATTAGGAACTGCAAAAGTGCGCAAAACACGTTACCAAGGCCGAGGAATCGTAGCATAGTGTCATATCTCGTGCAGTTTCCGGCAAATGCGCCCACTGTCTAGACAGTGGAGACAGTATTGCAAAATGGGGGGGGGGGGGGGGGTATGAGGTGAGACGGCACTCAAGCTGGTATCGAAGCCTTGCAGTGAACACAAGCATCGTGCCAGCGTCAATACTCATCACAACTTAGATAAGCGCTTTCCCAAATATGCGTCTTATTCGATGATGGCGACAGAAGTGAAAACAAAGTGAAGGGGTAGAGAGACAGCAGGCGGCCGAGCCGGGGGTGAGGGGAGGGGGTGTTGCACTAGCGTTTCCGCGCGACAGATGCCAACGACGTCACGGTTACGCGAGGAATAGCTATTGGATTGGATAAACTTTATTTGTGCCTGCAGTTGGGCACTCGTGCACCCCGACGTTGTCTACGGTGTTGCCGTCACTCGGCGCGGGTCTCCGCTCGCTGGACCGCTGAGGTCCTGCCTTTCGAGCGCCCCGAGGACCTGCTGGACGGCCCAGAGCTGTTCCTCCTATGGTCGTAGCTCTTCGCGGCCACCTCGAGCCGCGACGGAATTGTTCTTGCTTCGATCCTCTGGGTGTTTGATGCAGACCCACAAGATGTGCGTGTGATCTGCCGTTTCCACCCGGCAGACCTTGTCGGTCGGGTATGTCTCGAGGTACATGCGGCGCATCAGTGCCGGGCTCGGTAGCAATCCGGTCTGGAGCTGTCTCAGTAGTACCGCCTTCGCTCGACCCAGCCGTGGGAGCAGGAATAGGAAAGTTCTGCGAGCCAGGCCTTCGTGATGTCGTTGTAGTCTGTCGTGTGGTCTTTGGCTTCGAATCACGTTGGATGGTCAAACTTCGGAGCAAGAGAGTCAATATAAAAAGAGCAGTGTAGTATGCGTGTTGCTTATTATTTACCGTGCTTACAATCAGCCAAGCCTTTTTGAAAATGCTGCTTTATTATATTCGTTGCTCTGGCTTGCTAATGTTCGACGTTTGGAAAACAGCGTGACAAAAACTTGCTCTGTTCCCGGAAAAAGATGCGATTCCATTCCCGTTCCATTCTGTGCAAAAGGTGCTTAATTTCATTCCCATTCTGTTTCTTCAAGCGCTGTCCCCATTTCATTCCAGTGTCGCGAAAATTTGGAATGATTCCGGAGCCATTCCAATTCTGGAGTAGCAAGCCACAACACTTGAACTGGCATATCGTATTACGGTAAAGAAGAAATGGTAATGTTGCCATGTGCTCGGTGATGGCGACGCATTCCTAGATGAAGGTACAGGGTACATGGCAGGTTTGACGTCTTTCGCAGATAACTGAAATAGAGGGGGGCAACTCGTGCGCATGCCTATGATGCCGGTCACCGTATGAACCATGCATAGGCACTGCGCCGTGCTCCCGACCGGGTTGCAGAAATGAGGTGCCTTTTCTCATCTTCTAACCACTACCGTATGAACCATGGTTCAGACGGAAACCTTTTTTTTTTCTTTTTGTCGCGCCAACATTATCGAAACACAGCGAGTAGCGCTAAACAGAGCCGTATTCACGTGTGGTTCGCAACAAGTGGTAAAAAAAAAACAAAAAAAACACACGTGCCATTACGACGCGGAATCCTTGTACGTGTAGAGTCTGTAGTACGCATTGTCGATTAGGTGACATATTGTAAGTGCTGTCACTAGCGCTGTTTGAATACATCCTTTGGACATTGGGAAACGTTTTTTTTTTTTTAAGCTACGGCCGCACCCGCGATCCTCTCACTAATGAGTACGCAGTATTTTTTATTTTTTTTTTGCTGATGGTGGGTTTTGCTTCAATGGGCTCCACTGGGACATCGACAATGGACACTTCCGTTGTATGTGCTGTAGTGATTTCCTCCACAATCGTGTTTCGAAACTCACGGCTGAGGGAGAACAGCTGACTGCAATGTGGCTGTGCTTGATAAACTATATCAGAAGTTATCACAAACGCTACACACGCAACGAAAAGATTTCTTGCGTATTTTAACGTTACCGTTGCGATGAGATAACGATGATATATCATCGTCCTTTATTCAACGTTTAACTATTTGAAACTGTGTAAAATGCCGGATACCTTACAGCTAAATTTCGAAGCGAAAGAATTTGCACGGAGTACGTACGTCACCTCACTTTATTATTGCTATCTTTATTATTGTTATCTTTGAGATTGCGAAGTTGACTATCAGTAGCGCCTGCTGAGATATATCAGTATGCGCTATCAAAAGATACCAGATTTCTAGCTGATAACTGTGCTTTTCGAGGAAATCGTGTGCATGAGCATGCATGCGAGCAGCAGAGCAGAGCTCTATTAGCCCGTCATTCCCCGAAGGTGTTCCTAGCTTTTTAGCTTGCGTAAAAACAGATTTCCCTTTCTGAAGAACCGGCACTTGCTCTCTCCTCCCAGATATTGTATACCTTTGAAGTGCCATGACCTCCGGAGCTGTGAATACTGTTATTGTTTATTGCGGTATGTGTTTTGCGTGGATTTGGGAACTGTGGCCACCTATGAGATTAAGTCATGCCGGCCTCTCACATGTTTTATCGTTCATTTCACAGGAAAAGCCGAGGAGGAGCTTGAGGAGTTGGCCGAGTCCCTGCAGCTGCCTTCAGAGGTGCTTGCGCTGCGTGAAGGCAGTGAGCCATCTCCCGAGCTCACTGTCTACGCTCGGGTAATGCTGCGTGGAGGCACACTTTTTGGGCCTTATGCTGCCCACCTGGTCAAGGATCCTGGCCAGTCTGTCAGTGCCACTCACATCACCGTGAGTAGCTGTGCTCACCTATATTAACCAGAGGTTTAGGAATCTCTTTGGCTATAGTCCACCACTTTTGTTCTGCTTTTCGGACGAGCTATAAATGGCTTATATAGCTTTCCTACCTCCTAGTCTGAGTGCTAAGCTTGCCACTCATATACATATGCATAGTGCCATGTGCAGCTTTCAAGTTTGCATAGCCAAATGCGACATTCAACTTACAACTGATAATTCACACGGAGTTCAGCATAGTTGGAGGTTGTAGTACTTAATCATCATGTAGCAAAAAGCAGAATATGTGAAAGAAAAATTATTTGTGTAGTATTTTACTTTCTTTCATGCTGTTTCTCTCGTTTATAGTTGAATAATAAAGTAGATGATATCTTGCCTCTACTTTTGTAAGGCCCTCAGCATATGCCTACTCTACTGAGAAGAGAAAAAAATGTGGCCTTCAATTGGTTGTCCACAGAGTGTCATTCAGTAATAAATTTGTCCGGATGCTGTGAAGTGCCTCTCAGTAGAACTACATGTTGGGGTCATCAAGTTCACTTACCTCCCTTATTTACAGTGCTCCTAAAAGGTGCTTTCCAAAAGGCTTGGTCAGTGTTAAGGCTAAGTTGAAAAGCAACACCAGCACAGCAAGTCTATTGCAACGTGCACAACATTAGACAGGTCTTGGCAATAGGTGAAGTTAACGATTATTCCTCTAAAAGTGGTGATCTTGAATTAAGGATGCTCATGGCTAGCATTTTGTAACATCTCATAAATGGTTGATAAGTGAATCACTTCTGCTCATGCATGCATTATTGTTAAATAGACTACCCTCGGGGACACAAGAGCTCAAGGCATGCGATTCGCAAAAAAAAAAAAAACTGAACTTTATCTTAGCTAAAGAACTCATCCTTTAATTAGACATTTAGTCTCTTATAGCTTTTACATCCTACACTGTAGTAGAAGTTGCATCCGTAAATACTTTGTAGACTCGAATATATTTCTGGTATGATGCTATACAAACGGCTGTAATGTATGCATATAAAACACAAAGAAATAGTATAAAACCAATTTCAGCAAAATCAAGCCAGTACTTCACCAGAAAAAATGGGATTCCCTCCGACTCACGAAATTATGTACCATCATACAATCACATCACCAGGTATTTGAGATGAAACGTCCGAAACAGCTAGTGCAGAGGTGCAGTTCTCAAGTAGTGTAGAGGAACATTACGCACACCTCATTTACAGCAGCACAACACCACCTGCACATTCTCCTTACAAGCCCTCACAGGGCTGCAGTCTGTTCCTGTAAAGTTTGTTTCACCCCATACTCAAACCATTTTTTGTCTATTGTGTTGTCCCTCATGCCGCTGTCAAAATATCAAGTGCTGATGTTGTCCCTGAATATCTGCCCAGTTTTCAAGGAATATATGAATTAAAAGAAAATGATTCCTGTGCATCATTATCTACTCTACAATTAGGCATAGCGAAGGGCATGGTGAATTTACAAAGGACTTTGTTTCAATGCCTTTATTGGTAAAGTTACTAAACAAATCTACAAAAACACATCATGTCTGGGAGATAAAATTGACTTTCTAGAAAACTATAAAAAAGAGAAAATCAGTGGCATAATGAATGACAGGCTCTTTTTTATATGAAGAAGAGGAAAATTCAAAAGTTTTTATGAAAACTTCTAACAAATTTCAATTGCATTGTGGCACTACTGCGATTGTCCGAAATTGCAGTAAAACAGTTTTTGGGTGCTTTCATTGCTTAGGTAAGATAGCAGCTACTTAGAGTTCTGCTAATTGAGACAGGTTGTGTGGATAAAGCTTTTTCTGCAGTAGGAAAAGTAGGATGTATGTGTCCCGCTGATGCACAAGGGTTTATAGAGTGGAAGTTCTGATTAGTCTTGGAAGCCAAAGCCTGGGGGCCTTAGTCCCTTGGAATACATATGCTATTGCCAGTTTCGTGTAAATTCTTCTGAGGATGTTTTATAACTTGATTTTCTTTGCATACATATCTACCTGTGCAGTTTTCTGGTCTTCGTTATATATGTGCCTCTATCTTCATTTCTTCATTCACTCAGTAATGAAGCAGTGCACATATGTGATCAGAAAAATTTTATGGAAAATATATAGAAGAGTGTTTGTTGCTTGGGATAATGAGTGGTGTTTACTGTCTTATGCAGATACAAAGCAAAGAGGGCAGTGCCACTTACCTCAAACTGAAAGAGGCAGCTGGTAGCTGGTTGAAGACACTGCGGCTTGTCCAAGACAAAGAAAGTGCTAATGTCAACCTTTCTCTTGAAGGTTAGTTATCTTTGGTATCCTGTTTTCATGCGAGCTTACACAAATAATATTACATTGGCCCAATCTAGTGCACACTTTTTTTTTCTGGGAAAATTGTGTCCTTGAAACAACATGTAGGTTACTTTGAGTGTGACATTTTTAAGCACAAAAATATGAGTTTCTATACTCGGTAACAATCTATCTTGACAGTGGAATGAAGGCAATGGAGGTGGGTCTTCCGCACACTCATGTTACTTCACAAGTTATATGGCAGCTTGCGACTGATTTCAATGTTGCTCACTCGCATCATTAACATGTTTAGATTATTATATATACATGAATAAAATATGATTAGGAGAAAAATTTTGACGGTTCAGTGTACATTTTATTGTCATACCACGAGTGTATTTTTCTTGAAGAACTAAGCAGCAAATTTGGGGCCACGCATTGACCCACTATGTCATGGACACCATGTTTGCTTTGGAAAATAGGTGTACTGAATAGGTGGTGCTGTCGGAAAAAAAAAAACATAGAAATAAAAGCAATGCATTCTTGCAAAATGAACTATACCGTACTATACCTATGACTTCTTGCAACTTTGAGTCCCATAAAAAATAAAGCAGCATTTGTTTCCAAAATAAAAAATGGGAAAATCACAGCATACTTAAGTACTATTTCTAGGTGCGGTAGCAGGTATGCACTTTGTTTTTGTAGGTTCCACAATGTTGTCAAAAAATGTGGTCGCGTAATGTAACCAGAGACAAAGTTTTCATTTTCCTGGAAAGGACGGAGCTCCCCAACACAACTTGCTCTTCCACATTTCTCTCTCACACTTCCTATATTATACAGTAGAACCTCACTGATATGTTTCCCTTTAATACAATTTCCGAGCCCTTGTGCCTACAATTACAAAAATCGAATTAATCCAATTCTGATCGCACATTTTCCCGGATCACCTATCATTTTCTGCATTTTTTTCGTAAATGTATCGATGAGGCTCTACTTTAGCTGAAGAAAAAAAGGAGCTTTCTGTTCTGCTTTTTTTAGTGCTGTGTGCACGTACACATGCATGCTTTTGTGTATGTGTGTTTGTGTGTGTGTGAGAGAGAGATCGCCACAACATGTGGTGTCTGCTGAATTTTCTCATTCACGTGCTTTATTTACATAATAAAAGCATGCACCAAACAGGAGTAGAAGAATGTTGGACAGAGGAAGCTTTAATTATATCAGTGAATTCAATTTAAGGTGCCCAAAAGTAATTCTCAGGTCGTAGCAATGATCCTTTGCTACCACTGCATGTAGTGCAAAGTTGGGGTTATTTCGTTTCTTTGTTAAAGGTTGTTTTCTGGTTGGGTGTATGAGGTCCTTTTAAGACACTGAACTGTTATTAAAACCCTTTGGTGGTCAAGCAAAAATGTGTACAATCTTTTTGTTTTTTGACACTTTTATAGGCAGGCATGTTGAAGGTTACCCATTTGTGGATAACCAAAAAATTACTTTTTTTTTTTTTGGTGAGCAAGTGTGTGGGAAATCATCATTCACTGATTGACTGTGTCAGGATTTCTTTGTATTCTCAGCAGAATTTTCATGTTCTGAAGACCTGTTGCTACTTGGTTTAAGACTTATTAGTTTGTCATGGCTTTAGCAATTGCTTCATTTGTTTATCAACACAACATATTCTACCCATACAAAACCGTCAGAGGGTCATTTTGCACTGAATATTTTACTTGTCATTGGACCATCATCCGATCTTAAAATCCTAGAATGAAAAAAAAAAATGCACAAAGTTCGCACTAGATTGCACCAAAGCTTGGCACAATGAATTCTGGGCCTGTTTCTATGGCATACTAGAATGGGGCAGTGTGCCGTTTTCACTGCAAACCAATGGGAAAGTGGTGGTCACTTTTGCAATGACGCCACCAGAAGGGCGCTGCGATTGAACGATGTGCCCAGCGCACGTAATTTAAATTTTTATTGGGGCCTCTTGTGCAGTTTTCTAGTAAAATAGTCATATCACTTGAATGAAATTAAAAGTATTTATGAAATTAAAACACATCCAACACATCTAAATGCATTAATGAAATAAATAATGCTGCTTCTGCGTAGTCTGAGCTCGCACGATTGGTATCGCAGAACAGGGAGCCAGAACGTCTGCTTGCTTACTGTTTTAATTTTAAAAAGCATAAAAACGCATATCACTATTCATTTGATCTATGCGTACCCCTGCCTAGCTATCACATTACCTTGAAGTCATGCAACAAAACTTTGAGACAATAAATACTGCTGTACTTCTTTATACATTTTACTCCTCAAAAGGATGCCAAAGTCTAGGAATGTAACTATAAGTTCTCCGCTTCTCTGCAAAGTATTCAAGGTAATGGATGTAGTTTATATCAGTAAACTCCTGAATTTCCCTGTACACACACATGACAAGCGCGGCCACTACAAGTACTAATCTCGGAGGCTTTGTATCTCAGCTTCTCATAAATTACTTTAGGGGGCGGTGACTGGTGGCGACACAGTAGAATGGTGCGCTTCGGCATCACCGGCCGTCATCGCAAAAAGAGCCATGCTTTTGGCGCCAGATGACACACTGTCCCATTCCAGTACAGCATATCATTGCGACTGGCTAGGCGACGTATTTCTATATTTCTTGATATATTCCTAGTTTGTATTTTTTCTACATTTCATCATTTCTCTATATTTCTCTATTTGTGCTTCCCACAAATCGATGCACATATTTTGGGAGCAATGTGGAACATGAAGAAGAAGATGAAGAGAGCGCGTGCCAGTTCACGGTGATGGTCATTTTTGGTGACAACATTTTGCTCCTAGCTAGAACAGCTTCACTGTTAAAAGAAGCAGGAATAAACGTCCCTCTGGTAAATAGCTGTGAGACAGGGTGCCCAGCAGTATGCTGTCAGTGTAAGAGCACCTAAGGTCTTGATGAAAAAATATCCCGGGCTGGTGCCAGGGGGGAGGGGATCTGCCCTCCATGAGGCCTATAGTTTGCAAGTGCTCAGCTATTTGCAAATAATGATACTGAAAATTAGTATCTGACATCTTTTAGCCCTTCATAAACTGAAGGCATAGAGTGATTAAGCCATCTAAGTTAGTGCAAGGAGTGCCAAAACAGACAACACACTCATTGAAATAGATTTATTCAACCATTGCATAATATGCAACTGTACACACTTCATAACTCTGTTCATCTCTGCCACCCTTTTATTAGTAATGTCTCAGAGCAGGTGACAATTTTCCACATTTATCGATTTAAAATTATCCTTGAAAACATCTTTCCACAATTGTCTTAGAACCTGTCTTTTTGCCATGTCTGCATGCTTTCCCATTTTTGAGCTGGGGCATAGCAAGCATTTTTTACCTGGGGTAACTCTGCACTCGTAAGTGTGTATACTTGTGTTAATATAATAAACATGCATGCAATGGGTACAAGATGTTTGATTTGGGGATTGGGGCCTCAATGCTTCCAGACTCAGCGTATGTATGTATATGTTGCACACATGTGTGTGTGTGTGTGTGTGTGTGTGTGTGTGTGTGTGTGTGTGTGTGTATTGCATATGTATCTGTTTTATCCATGCACTATGTGAACGGATAAAATGAACATCTTGCTCTCCTCAGTAATTGTGTGGCCAGAAACTGCTTAAATATATGGGTGGTTTTATGTCCTGAAACTATGATATGATCATGAGGGACACCAAAGTAGGGGGCTCCGGAAATTTTTACCATCTGGTGTTCTTTAGCATGCACCAACATTGCACATTACATGGTCCTCTACAATTTCGCCTCCATCAAAATGTGACCACCGCGACTGAGCTCAAACCTGTGACCTTTGGGTCAATAGCCGAATGCGGTAACCACTGATCCATTATGGCAGACAGGAGAAATTGTTTAGATTCCTCATCATTACAAACCTCCATGAGAACTATTGTGTTACGTTTTACAGGTGGCTAAAAGATTGTAAATGGCTTTGCTTATTTATTTATTTTTGCCTATTTATTTTAAATTTTTATATTTTTACTGATATCTTTGTTTGAACTGTGGCCCTATAGGTCACGTGAATATTTTAATTTTTATTGCAGCATTTTGATGTGTAACCGTTTGTATACATTTCCTTTTATGCAGGTGATGAAGTGTGGTGCAACCTGACACATGACATTGCTGCAGACACAGAACTCCTGGCTCATTTCACTACATCTCCACAAAACAAGCGGGTATTGCCCAGCACTGAGAGTGCAGTTGATGCTGATGCCTTGGCAGATGACATTGACGTTGTTGTTGACGACACTGATAATGTGGAGTCAACTTCTTCTGCTGCGGAAGAGTTGAAGAATGGTGTGGGAAGCCCACTAAAGACAGTCTCCAGCTCACCTGTTCCTACTCCCTGTAATGGCCCAGATGCACTAATGGCAGCTGATGATGAATCAAAGGCACTTGACGGCACGGAAAACAGCAGTGCGCATGCCGAAAAGGCTGAATCACCAAAGTAATTGTTTTTTGTATGATAAAACATGCTTACTATTTCTCTAAATTAATGTTTGAGACAGCTAAGCACCTCTAATTGTTTCCAAGAGAACTTTTGTCTAGTTGGTTCATGACGACAGTGTGATGACGCAAAAACAGAACAAGAACAGACGAAGAAACCTGTGTGTGACTTCATCTCTTCTTATGTCTTGTTGTACATTGTTGTTCTTTGCCCAAGTTCTAAAATCTGAAAAAAAAAAAAAAAAAAAAAACAGGCAGAGGGGACAGGGAGGAGAAAAGAGAGTGAAGTGCCCCCCCCCCCCCCCCTTTTTTTTTTACTGGAAGAGCAACCACTAACTTTCCCAAACAGACAGACAGACAAAGAACTTTATTGGGTCCTGAGAAACGCTGCTGCTTTAGAGCAACGTCGCGGGCCGCTCCCACGCAGGAACGGGGAGTCCTAGCCTCACCGCCATGTCGTGGGCTCTCTGGACAGCCCGTAATTGTAGTAGCAACTCTGAACTTCGTAAGGCAGAGTCCCAATCTTCTTCTGTGAGCCAACTTGGGCCCCTTAACGAGGGGCACTGCCAGAGCATATGTGCTAGAAGAAATTTACTTCTGTGGTTTTTCTGTTCGCTTTTTTGTACCTTGCTTCATCATAAATCGGTAATGCATTTTGAGGTGCTATAAGCAACGTAGTACAAAGAAATATAAATGAGTGAATAGAATAATAGTAACCAAGGGGCCTGACATTTTTGTTAGTAAAAACCATAATAAACGGACAAGCCATGAGCTGGAGATGTGGTGCAAAAAAGTATTCTGAATGTGGGACACACTTGGCTTGTTTATTTTTGTGCGGTTAGTCACCTATGAGTAAAAAAAAAAGTGATAAGCCTGTTTTATAGTGCAGGTTTTGTGTTTTTCAACACTCAAAATGATGTTTAGATATTTGTGTTGAACAGCTTTATTTATAGGTGAATGTATTATCATTTTAATCTTTGTTTTTTTAAGTTCAGGTGTAAATAAATATGTAAGACAATTTTATGCAGGTGATGGCTACTTTTTTTCACTTAGTGCAAGGATTGAAAACAAAGAGCAAAAAAACTTTTTCACAATAACACTGCACTACTCGCAGGAAAAGAAACAACCATGAAAAGTCCAGAGGTGCTACAGCCTACTTACTGTTCTTACAAAATTTTATATTGAACAATGACATAATCACAAAACTGCTTCATATATAGTCAATTTTAAACACAGGGTGTATCTATCTAATGGTTTTGAAAAATCTCCACATGGCTTGGATGATGTGTTGAACTCACAAAAATATGGGAATGTGCTCATTTGTTTTTTGAAGGCAAAAGCAAATGCATAAGAGTTCATTATGATTTTTTAATCGATGCTGTTGTGTTATATTACATTACACTACTGTGGAGCTGTAAGCTTACCAAAGGAGCATCACTCTGGAGCACATATGAATTCTCTTCTACATGGAGGGGGGGGGGGGGGGAGCCATCCTTATTTGAGACACACACCTTGATCATATTTCCTTCATAGCTTGTACTACTCTTCATATTCAATGTCCTGTTTGAGAGTGTCTGCAAGAATAGCATCATTTCATGAGCATGAAAGTGATTTTTTGTCAGTTATAGGAAATGCTGTTGCAAAAGTGAATGTAGCGTAGTGTCTGATATATATAGAATGTGAAGGCAAACTTGAGTGCGATATGTGCAATAGAGAACAACTCCTTTAAATGAGGTTTACATGGGGATGTTATAACTGTTCAGTATAGGCACTCACTCAATATAACCTCAGTTCAATTGTTTTCGAGTATTGTATTTTGATTGCTGATGGTTCTTTTTTCTTCATTATTATTTGAAATTTGGGTGCTAACCGTAGAGCCAAACATTTAAATACTTATAGATTATCTTACTGCAAAGGGTACAATCTTCTAATATGCTTTGATATGATTCTCTTTGCAGTGCTATTTACAAATTTATGTAGCATGCCTCCATATTAAGGCATGTGTGTGTGACAGGAAAAGAAGGATCATTGAAGTATTTGCTTGAGCAGGCCTTGTTATATTTTGTTCCTTTTTTTATAACCACCTTTGCAGAGAAGTGGCACTACATTCTAGTGAAATTATGAATATTCAAGTGAAGATGGAAGCCTCCAGTCCTGTTCCAATTCCAAGTGGTCAGTCATCGGAGGACCTGCCATCTGATGATCCAGATGGAGATTTTATGACCACAAAGAAAGACCAACTTACAACAGTAGCTTCCAAGAAAACTGATTTGCATCCTGAACGTATTAATGGTTACAGCCCCCTGGCTGGTTCAAGCACCGCCTTGCTATTGCAGCGGCCTTCTATTGTTGTTCAGCAAGGCAAGTTATTTCGTTACAATATATTTGTGTGAGATATACTCTAGAAATGCCATGTAAGGTCTAATACCCTTAAGGCACGCTAATGTGGACTTCTGCTTGGGTGCATTTTGTCAACCACATTGCATACTCAAGTCAAATTAAATTTATTTATAACATGCTCGAAGTACAATGTTGAAGGCCACCCTAGCAAAAAGCTGTAAGCATACAGCTTGACGAGGCTAGGGGGCCACAACCAGGCAACAGCAGCAGTGCACAGATGGGCAGTACAAACAATGCTTTTCGTTGTTGTAAATACATATAAATACATGTGTGCACACTGTGAACAGATTAGAATATGTGTGAATAGTCCACTAATGTGCCATTTTGTGAAGTTAACGAGTTGTACCTTATTTATGAAACATAGAAATGGGAGGTAATTAGGTAACTCTTTCAGCACTGTTATGAACTTCTGTCAGTTATCAGTCAATAAGGTCCTTCCTTGTTGTGAGTTGATACCTTCATATCTTTTGTTGATCATGCTGAAATGTTAGGTAGGTGTGCACATTGTGTTTCAGTGCTACCTTTTTGAAAAGTACACATGAGCTGTAATTGTATTTTTGAGGTTATGGAAAATGCAAGAATAAGTAAGTCGCAGCACTAGTTCTGCCAAATAGCACTTTCACATACAGCTTCATGGGATGCTCAATCCATGGTGCACAGCCCTCAGCTTAAAGGGGTGGTGCCATCGAATTCGAGGCTATAACAAGCCAGTTGTGGGTTTCCTCTGTGTGCAAGGACACTCCACACAAAGACTCGCATGGATGTTTAGAATATATTTTAATTCATTTCCAAAGAGTGCCTAAATGCTCATGCTAATCTCCCAATCGACACCCATCACTAGTGTGTTAACACTGATGTAGCTCTAGAAGAAGGCCAATGAAAGCTGTAGTGATGTCACGCCAGATCTGTAGTTATAAGAGTGACCTGCGGACATCCGCCACCTTTGCAAATGTACGTAGCTACAAAGCAGCGGTAGCTACATCACTCGCGGCTGCTGCAGCTAGCCATAGTAAATGTCCGCATGTTTGTTTTGCTGGTGCTTGTGTGTCGTGTGTGTGCGAGAACCGGCGATACTCAGCACGACGTGTATCACAGCCTTGTGTGGTCACATGGCCAAGCCTCCTACACTGCTAAGTCACTGCCCAACTCCGTAGCCAGAAACTAAAACCGAAACTTGTCCACATAATTAAGGTGATATTAAATTATTTAGTGGGAAAACGTGTATCTTGGACCCGTCGTCCATGAGGTACTCATAAGAATGACAAATATTTATTTACATGGTTAGTAACTGAGAAATCTAAAGGAGCTAGTCAAGTGATCAAGAGTTTGTTGGAGAACTGTGAACTGCAGAACTGAACTGGAAATATACAAAAAGTGTCCCATTTATATAGCGCCACGCTGCAAACTCTGGGTGCATTGTCCGCGTCTTCAACCAATACGGTCCTCCACCCACAAACGCGGGGAAAGGCACCACACAATGAACGTGGAGAGGGCACAGCCTTCTAAATGCTGCCCAAAATAAGAATATGAATGCACTGCACCAACGTATTGCACACCGCACCAACATTTTGTGCGCGTTCGAGGGTCCTAGTTGATCTGAGTTTCCAAGAACTCTCCCAGCAAGAGATTGATGTTCGAACAGACTGGCTCCCGGCACCCGTGCGAAACTTGTTTGTCTGTATTTGGGTAGAACAATGTGGCTGCCTGACAGGTTTATCGTGAAACCTGCCACTGGATATAGCTGATGCTATGGAAACAGGGGGGATCGAGGAGTATTCGACTAATTCCTTGTCGTTTGCTTGAAGTTACCCCTTAACAACTGCAAATTTCTTGGACTTTGCTCTCTTTGAAAGGTTCAGCTGCAACCGGTTTGGTTTTAGCTGCCACCCCAAACTGCACATACCATTTTGGCTCAGGTCTCTCCAAATTCATAATGGCTTTAAAAATCGCCTCGTTGTCTTTTTACTTGCTCGGAGAGCCTTTGCATCTCGTATAAACTCGAGGTCACAATAGCCTTTCCTGTCTTGTGTGTTTCCTTAGTACTGAATCGGTCCTAGGACACCCTTGTTCACAATGACAGAGAGGAAATCTGCCCGTCTCAACTGCACGCTCTTGCTTGCAATGAGTCTAGCACTTTTTGTCCAGTTTACAGCCGCCAAAAGAATGTCAATGCCAATGATGGTCATATCAAACCTTGCTATGAAGAACATGAATGACCTCCCGTGTGGCCTTTATGAGCCTGCATTTGTATGTGCGGCATAGAAGTAGTTTAATTGTGATCTAGCATACTCTTTGGTATGGACTATCAGCCCTCCATATGTAACAATGTCTTCTTGCATTCTTCTGGAAAGCTTTTGCTCTCAAGGGAAGACTGAGAAACATGCTAAGAGCTTGACATAGATCAATATGTTTTTCCATCTCCATTTGGGTAATGCCAGCTAGCTGAACCAACATAATGAAGCGGTACCAAGCTAAAAGCATCATGTAGGTCTTGTAGCAGCACGTACTACAGCAATCGGAATAAAATAATAAATCTTTCTTGTTAACCCTCTTGACATTGCTGACTGATTTGACAAATAGAAGATGTATAGATGCACCATGTTGCCGTAAGGCCTGAAACATAAAAATGGAACAACCAAATGATATTCATCCTCACCACCTTCTTTTGTCCCACTTTTCTCTGCATGCATCTCTCCTTAGCATTCCTCCCTATGAAACATTCCTTTAATCTATATGACAGTAACATATATGGTGATGTGCAGTCACTTGAACTGCTGTTTGCATTTTGGTGTAGTAGCCATAAACAGTGGATTGGGTAAACATTGCATGTCAGTCAGTATAACTGTGACCTGTGTGTTAAATATGAGCATAATTAAATAAATGAGATTACAGATTGTTTAGAATGGAAACAGAGAAATGGTATGTGTAGCATTTAGTTTTCTTAAGTATGTTGGCTGAATTTTGATCAGCATGTACTTTATGTAAATTTTATTAGATAAATTTTATTGCGATTGCAATTATATAGACAGTTTTCGTCCATATATATATATATATATATATATATATATATATATATATATATATTATATATATATATATATATATATATATATATATATATATATATATATATATATATATATATATATATATGTGTGTGTGTGTATGTGTGTGTAAGCGTGGGTCGCCTACCCGCACGCTTATCTCGTGAGCGAACAGCTAAGCTAGGCACCTACCTATAACAAACCTTCATGTAATAAATTCTTCGATACTACAAAGTTTTTAGATTCTCCACCGTTACTTCATAGAAGTACATGTATTTGCGACATCTATATGTCAGTAACAGCGGGAAACATCTGCGATAAAACGAATTTTCGCCCAGAACAATCTAGTAATTTTGCTCTGGATTTCGCCATTTTGGCATGCTTGCGGCCTCGATCGACTTCCAGGTGAAAGCAAGCGACGAAAACGAAAAATGGTGTTGCTGCGGTCGCGGCGATGTGACGTAACGGCAAGGACTCGCCTCTCAGTGCCACTTGTCTCTCTTTTCTGCACCCGCCGCGTAACCGCTCTTTGCCTTGGTAATTACTCAATTGCGTGATGCTATTAAATCTCTCAAGATGCAAAGTGAAAGGTTTCAGAGCTAGTGAAAGTTATCAAGGCTGTAAAAAGTTTGCGTAATTTAGCTTAGGATAGGGCAGACTCCCGTCCGAACGGCAGATGCACTGTGAAAATTGTTGTTTTCGATGCGTCCGCCAAGAATGGGTGCTGTAGAGAATATTCTAAGTGGTGCTAACGTGATTACACCAAGGCATAGACTATGGTATGTAAACATTTGTGCGCCAAAGTATCACAAATAAAATTGGGATGTTTTCAATTCACTAAATACATTGCACTTTACCATGAAAGTTGCACCTGCATCTGCAAGTAATCTTAATTATTTGAAAATATTGTTTTTTCATCAACAGGAGACAATACATGAACCTGACTGTCATAAGCACAAACTTGACATATTCTGAAAATAAACGAAATTGTACTGCCACACACAATGATTTTGGGTATGTTGGGAACATGTACGTACATATGGTTCGTTTACTCAGATCATACGTACACGTTTCTTCTCAACAGTTGTCATGGTCTGTGTAGTTGTATACCCTTATTCGCGTGAAATGCTGCGGTGATCTACCACCGCATCACAAACTGCATAATGTTCACATCACATGGGAGCACTGCTGATGATAATTAGATTTCAACACAAATGCCAGGAAGTTGAAATGAACGTTTTCGAGGGCACGGTCGGTCACGTGGCCCAAGTAATAATTAAACAACCTTCGCCTCGATGAGGCAATGACTGGTCTCATACGTCATGTTCACTTACAGGTGCAAGGAATAATAATTTATGAGCTGGCTATCTAAACTGCCCAAGTAACCACAGATATCTGCTGGCTGTTCATTCTTAATAAAAATGTCCAGCCATATCAATATCCAACACGGTTAGCCAATGGACCTACGGTGAAAGTCCATGTCGTGTGTGGCTGTTCTGTGGACGTCTGAACTGGATGTCCGACCGGAAATTAAGTTTCGAACATGGACTGGCTGTTCGTATAAGAAAATGCCAAGGATATGTGCATTTTCTCATCAGTTATTGTAAAATTAGAATGTAGTGAAAACATATAGAAATCTACACGATCTCGGGTGACAATCTTGTAAATTTTCATTAAAAAGGCTACTATAAAGTTCAGTCAAATTTCGGCACATGCATTTAATCCCAGGATTCCAAAAAATTTTGCTTCTGAGGCAAAACAATCTGGTTGATTCAATATGTGTATTGTACTTCATAAGGGAGAATGTATTTAGTGTTATTATTATCGCGTGTGAACTAACAAAAATGCAGATCGAGCGCATCATAGCAGTTATTCTGTAGGCAAACTTCCATGCGCTAGCCTCGACACTTATCAGCA